CTTGTTATATATGGCCTTTATTATGTTGAGGTATGTTGCCTCTATACTCACTTTGTTGAGAGTTTTTATCATAAGTGGATATTGAACTCTGTCAAATGCTTTTTCTGCATCTATTGAGATGATCATATAATTTTTATTCTTCATTTTGTTAATGTGGTCTATCACATTGATTGATTTGCAAATGTTGAACCATTTTTACATCCTTATAATAAATTCCACTTGATCATGGTATATGGTTTTTTTAATGCATTGCTGAATTTGGTTTGCTAATATTTTGTTAAGGATTTTTACATCTATGTTCATCAAGGATATTAGCCTGTAATTTTCTTTTCTTGTGATGTCCTTGTCTGGTTTTGGTGTCAGGGTAGTTGCTGGCCTTGTAAGATGAGTTTGGAAGAGTTCTCTCCTCTTTTTTGGAAGAGTTTGAGAAGATTTGGTATTAATTCCTCTTTGAGTGTTTGGTAGAATTCACTGGTGAAGCCTATCTAGTCTTGGACTTTTGTTTGTTGGGAGGTTTTTGATTACTAATTCAATCTCCTTACTAGTAATTCGTGTGTTCAGATTTTCTGTTTCTTCATGATTCAGTCTTGGAAGGTTGAATTTATCCATTTCTTGTAGGTTGTCCAGTTTCTTGGCGTATATTATTCATACTAGTCTCTTATCCTTTGTATTTCTGTGGTATCATTGTAAGGTCCCCTCTTTGAGTTCTGATTTAATTTTTTGAGTACTCTCTTTTTCTTATGAGTCTAGCTAAAGGTTTGTCAGTTTCATTTATCTTTTCAAAGAGCCATCTCTTGATTTTTTTTTTTTTTAGATTTTTATTTATTTATTTGAAAGGGAGCTAGAGAGTGAGAGAGAGAGAGAGAGAGAGCATGAGGAGGGGGAGGGGCAGAGGGAGAAGCAGACTCCCTGCTGAGCAGGGAGCCAGATGTGGGGCTCAATCCCAGAACTCTGGGATATGATCTGAGTTGAAGGCAAAGGTTTATTAACCAACTGAGCCACCGAGGCGCCCCATGTCTTGGTTTCATTGATCTTTTGTATTGTCTTTTTAGTGTTTATTTCACTTATTTCCCTTCTCACTCTATTTCCTTCCTTTTATAACTTTGTCCTTTTTATAGTTTCTTGAGGTGTAGTTAGGTTGTTTATTTGAGATTTTTCTTATTTTCTTGAGATAGGCGTTTATCACTGTGAACTTCCCTCTTAGAACCACTTTTGCTATATCCCACAGGTTTTGTTATGGTATATTTCCATTTTCATTTGTCTCAAGGTATTGTTTATTCTCTTTTGATTTCTTCATTGACTCATGGGCTGTTCAGTAGGCTTTTTTCTTTTTGCTGGGACCGGCTGAGCCTGAGGTCCACGTGGCACCTGACAGCAGTGAGATGGGAAGGAAAAACAGATCTTATGACTAGAGCCATGCTCACATTTCATCTGCTACCCAGAGTATAAGTTCCAACTCTTGTGATAAAATATGCAGGGCATTTTCCTCTGAAGCATTGGTGGAGTTTACTTAAATCTTTTATATTCCCCACAAACACCAATAGCACAGGATTGCCTTAAAAAATGTGTTGGTATAGCAGTGTAAAGGGCAGTAGGCAGGTTAATCTCTTTAGCTGGCAGAGGAGAAAAAAAGTATGGACAGGAAGCCAATGTAAACTGGGTCATGTTAGAAGGAAGCCTCCAGAGGTCGTCCCCCTCCCCATCTCCACCAACCTTTCATCTTGTCATTTGCTTGTCTTACTGAAACTCTTGTTCCCCTTATAGTGACTTGGAATAGGGTTAACAATGTGGCAGGAAGGAGAGATAAGGGGTGGCACGAGTCTTTAATTTCACTTGTAGTACAGGAGAGATGTTTTCTTGACATCTAGTTCAAATTTCTCATCACAGTTTTTTCCCCTGCATGTAGTAGTTAGATTTTATAAATCATTTTTGTTTTTGATGAATAAAATGGGGGGAATTTCTAAAATATAATTTATATGTTTGTGAATGAAACAAAAGTTTGCAACATTAGTAAGTTACCCATTTGTATATAACAGTTTAAATGATGTTTTATTTTGCATTGGGTCAAGAGTTTCTTAAGAGTTTTATTTTTATCAATGAATTATTTAGTATGCCAAAGCAGGCCCTCAATGAATTATTTTATGACTAACTGTTAAATTTTACTCTAGATTGTGTTATCTCAGGGAAGCCATAACTTAATTGATGTCTCCTGCCCTGGCCCTCTTCACTAGTCCCCTTTATCTGTTCATTTCCCCCTTTTATAACCTGCTGGTAACAAGTAGAATCTCATACTCTTGTGAAACTACTCTGTATCAAGCTTACACAGAAGGGTCCAGATTATGTTATAGAAACTAGTGGATTCAATAAAGTATGCTTGATGTTTCACAGATATGTGACTCCTTGAATAGCCTTGATTAACAACCAGAGATAGTCTTAAGTTTTAATATTGTCTATTAGGTTGGAACCCAAAGGTTCTTTATATTTTATAGATTCTATGATTCTAAGATCTTACATGGTTTTTTCATAGAAGGCAATAATGACTATTGCTTTTATTCATAGACTTTTTAAAAATTAATATTCCAAGTATTATACAAAGAACTTATTTTCCTAAATCATTTGACTATAAGTACCTACATTATCCTCTCTTTAAATATACACTTTTAGTGTATATTTCCTACAAATAAGGATGTTCTCATATTTAACATCAACAAAACCATTAAAATCAGGAAATTAACATGGATATGTTACTAATCTTTAGATCTCATTCAAGTATTTGGCTTTCCATTAGACTCATTGTTTTTATAATTTCCTTCTATCTGCTGAAATTTCTTTCTTTTCTTTTTTTAAAGATTTATTTATTTTAGAGAGAGTGTGTGTGCAGTGGGGAGGGGCAGAGGGAGAGCGAGAGAGTCTTAAGGAGACTCCACTCTGAGTGCAGAGCCCGACATGGGGCTTGATTTCACGACCCTGAGATCACGACCTGAGCCAAAACCAAGAGTAGGATGCTCAACCTACCTCACCACCCAGGCGCCCCATCTGCTGAAATTTCTAATCTGATTATGTATGTGTTCACTTTTCTGCTAAGTCCTTTAACATATTAACCATGGTTATTTTAAAGTTATTATCTGATAATTTAAACATTTGGGTCTGGTTCTTTTGATTAGACAATCTCTTGACAATGGATTTATTTCTTGATGTTTTGTATGTCTCACAATTTCTTTTTATTGAATTCTGGGCATTACTTGTAAAAGAACAGTAGAGAATGAGGTAAATACTTATAACTGAAAATTGACCTTTTGCTGTCAGGCCATTAGCGTCGGGTGGACTTTAATTCAGCCTACTCTGTAATTAAACTAGGTTTGGGTTTTATCCTAGCTCTACATACCTTCAGTTCAGCACAGACTACAAAATCCTGCTGCTACCTTGTGCATTAGTATAGGGCCTGGAGTGCCAGAGGGTTTTTCTCCATCTTCCTTCTCCATCCTTAATCCAGTATACTTGTGCCACAGAGGGGGTCTCTCTTTGCCTTTGCTTAAAACTCCATGTGAAGCTTGTGGTGGGTTGGGGATGACAGGGGCCGCTCTTCAATTTTCTTGGTTTAGCCAGAATTGTACAGAGGTCCTGTCTGCCTGAAGCTCAGGTGTGAGGCTTTCTCAATGTCCCTTTGCCTCTTCCCCATGGAAGGCAAACTGCCTTGTGTATGTGGGAGTTTGGGGTTGGCAGCAAGTCTCTTGCTCTTCCTCCGAGTGGTAGCAGATCTCTGCTTGATGTCATTTTAGAACGTGGGCCTACTCTCTACCTCATCCTTTGGCTTCTACCCTTTCCCAGCAGTGGTGGACTTCTGCCTGAGAGTGGAGTGGTAGGGTGAGGCAAGGGTGAGGGGAGAGGGGGAGTGAGTTCTGTCCTTTCCAGCATCAGATGCTTTTTGTATATGCCCTTTTCTTAGAAGGGATGGAAGAGTTTCCTGCACCTCTTCCAGTGTCAGGTTTTGCTTTTCCAAGGGAAGCTTCTGAGAAGCAAGTGGGGTTTTGTTCTCTATACCATTTGCAGGGGCTCTCTTGGGTCTCTTCCCTGCCGTGCCCCCGCTTTTTCTTATAAGCAACCACTGAGTCCTGTGGAGGAATGTTGGTGAGTGTGAAGTCTTGTTTGTATCTGGGATTCCCAGTGATTCTACACTCAATGGTCACCTGCACTTGGCCTTTAAATTTGTTAACATTTCAGTTATTTTCTATTTGTCTACTTTTAGGGCACCTACGTCTTCTTCCCATCCTTGGTTTGTCTCTCATTAGAGGAGCTTGTCTCCCATTGCAGCTGTCGATTCATCTATTTGAGAGAGCAACCTCAGCTTTCTGACATACTGCTTTTTCTTACTTTTAGGGTAGGGGCGAGGTTCTCTTATGGCTTGAGTTTATTCTAGTTTTCTCCTTTTCTGTTTTTGTAGCTACTTTCTCCATCAGTGAAAAACCAGGCTCACGTTATCCTTAATATATAGACTCATTTGACCAACCCCCCTGTATGTAACCAACCTCTTATCACTGCTGCCGTCCTTTGCCACTCACAGACACCATCTTACCCCACTCGGGCTGATACCCCATACTAGGCCACTGAAGTGTCTGCATACTATCCTCTAACCCTCATGCTTGATCCCACCTGTGGGTCCCCTCCCTTTCCCACTCAGGCCCCAGCACCGTGTTCTAGGCTCTCCTCCTGTGGGGGTGCACTCACAACTCTGCTTGGACTTTGACTCTGGGCCACCTCATGTGGATGCCCTCCTCACCCTGCCTTGGCTCCAGCATGCACTCCAGGCCACCCCTCCACCCCAGACTTCGCTCTGGCCCACCTAATGGCTATAGGACTGATTTGTGCAAGAAAGGAAGGAGAAAAAGGAAGGCTCATGCACTTCTATAAGAAAAGACTGAGTTTCTGACTTAGTAAACATCCTTTAGTGTAAATAAACTAATAAATATATTTTAAGCATCTGTATTTTGTCTTTCTAACAGGTTATGAAGTTCATGGGATGGAAAAAATACCAGAAGAAGGACCAGCACTTATAATTTTTTATCATGGAGCTATTCCTATAGATTTTTACTACTTCATGGCTAAAATTTTTATCCATAAAGGCAGAACTTGCCGTGTAGTAGCTGATCACTTTGTCTTTAAAATCCCAGGTAAACTTTGACTGTAGATAGTGATATAAAAATGTTTAATTAACATGATCAAATTATGTTAAAGTCTGTATCCTTGAGGTCTCTAGTATCATTTGGAAAATCTTTTTGCCTTTTTAGGGTAATGCACTTAGCTCTAATTTGGGAATATCTAATTACGCTATTTAGGTAGTATATCTAAATATAAAAACATTATGGTCAAAAATGTTATCTAATTTTTTCTTTATAAACAGGTATTTAGTCATTATTTTTCTAAGTTAAATGCTGAACTTCCACTTTAAAAAAATAAATTGTAACTTTTGCCACGTAATTAATTTATATTTTGGTATAGAAGGTAGTTGATTTTTCATATGATGAATTTTTCAATGAGATATGATTTTTGGAGTTTAACTTCATAGTAATTAAAGTTTGATTACTATCAGTATTATAGCAAATCAGAATTATTTAAAAAAATCAACCAGGATATATTTTGTCTTCATATAATAATATTGCTTCAGAAATCCTATCCTAAAGAGTCTATATGTCTTCATCATACTTGACTTGCCGTCTAGACTTATAACTCTTAAAATTAAGGACTATATTCTTAATCTGTTCGTAAAGGCTTTATACCTTTTTAAAAAGATTAATTAACCAAATAGTTTTAAACAGAGTTTTTAAAAAGTCATTCTAAAATAAACTCATTGGTAATAAATCCTATTTTCTTTTGTCATTGAATGACCAGAAATAAGCCAACAAAGCTTATAGTATGTCCCCTAGAATAATAAAAGCCAAAGCCACCCATCAACCAGAGAGACAAACACCAAGCAATGAATTAAATAACAGTCTACTCAGTGGCTTTCATAGACAAGGTTAATGTTTTGGGTATCCTTGTGTCTGTATAAGCTAAATTAGTTAGAAGAGGTTTTTCTTTAGAAAGCAATATGATCACTTTATAATAAATTTGAAAACTAGAGAAAAGGAAAACATCATTATAATCTTACCACCCTAACATAACCAGTTATCGTTTTTATTTATTATACTTCATTTTTAATTTGCATATTTTTGCATGTTATGCAAACTCTTTTGTGTTCTTTTTAAAAAAAATGTAATGTTAGGATTAACATTTTACATGCTTTATAAAGAATAGTTTTTTTTTTTTAAAGATTTTATTTATTTATTCATGAGAGACAGAGAGAGAGGCAGAGGGAGAAGCAGGCTCCCAAGGAGCAGGGAGCCCGATGCGGGACTCGATCCCAGGACGCTGGGATCATGACCTGAGCCGAAGGCAGACGCTTAACCATCTGAGCCACCCAGGCGCCCTATAAAGAATAGTTTTAATGTATGACTAAAATATTTACTTAACTAGTTTTCTCTTATAGGATATTGGGTTGCTTCCATTTTTTTTCTTTTTATACATAATATAATGTGAATATTTTTATTTAGCACTTGGCTTTTAAAAAGATTTCCCCTTTCTGATCTTGTAGTTTATGAAACCTATTATGAAAATGCATCCCGTTAAGTCAGTGAGCTTTTAATATAATATGGGGTGAATATTATCCCATTCTCAAAAATAATGTATTACAATAACATCAGTCCTCCAAAGTTCCAGTTTAGGATTTGGTTAAAATAGTTAATTACTGATAGGATTATTTCTTTGATCCATAAATAGTTGTGCTTTGAAAAACTGTATAATATTAAGACTTGGAATTGGCTGTTACTGAATTAAACCATCACTTTATTAAAAACTCTTAATGATTTTGCTATTATTATTGACTTAAAAAAATTTTTTTTTTTTAAAGATTTTATTTATTTATTTGAGAGAGAGAGAATGAGAGAGAACACATGAGAGGGGATAGGGTCAGAGGGCAAAGCAGACTCCCTGCCGAGCAGGGAGCCCGATGCGGGACTCAATCCAGGGACTCCAGGATCATGACCTGAGCCGAAGGCAGTCGCTTAACCAACTGAGCCACCCAGGCGCCCGACTTAAAAAATTTAATTGTGGGATAAACATCATCTAACTTCTAATTTCAGCAGATTTGGTTATGGCTTGCCAGTTTTGGTAGGGCTAAGTATAGTCAGATTTACATTCTCTTGAGTGATTCTTTTTCTTATAGGGTTGAAGGAAGATTAGATTTGTGATTGCTGATGGGATATCATTTCTGATTGCTCTAATAAATACTGTAGACAGTGTTTGGCCCTGAGATGCAGTGGAAGGAGCTTTGGACTAAACATACGTGGACTGGAATCTCTGCCCTGCCATCGGCTAGGTGTGTGACTTTGAGCAAGATACTTACCCTCTGAGCCAACTTTCTTTGTCTGAAAAATGGGGATCAGAATCCCTGTTTTCCAAGGATTTTGTGAGTTTTAATTCAGAGTTTGAATATGTACTGTAAACCAAGTAGTAGGTGATTGCTGAGGAGATGATCACTAGGAGGTGATCAATAAGACATAGCTATTACTTTACCAGCAATGTTAATTTTATGTAAGCCTTAAGAGTTCCTGTTGATTTCAAAAAAAAAAAATAAGAAAAGGAATTTACTGTTTTAAGTATAGATATTTATGTAGGTTGTAAAGATTTTTGTCTTGAAGAACTGGACAAGAAGTACTTAAGATATATCTTCATGCTAATGTTTCTTACAGGGTTTAGTTTATTACTTGATGTATTTTGTGCTCTACATGGACCAAGAGAAAAATGTGTTGAAATTCTGAGGAGTGGTCACTTGTTAGCTATTTCACCAGGTGGAGTTCGAGAAGCCCTAATTAGTGATGAAACCTACAACATCATTTGGGGTAATCGTAAAGGCTTCGCTCAGGTTGCAATTGATGCAAAAGTGGTGAGTTGTATAAAACTAATTATTAAAGTAAAGCTAGGTTGAATTTAAAATAAATGCTTACGTAGTGGGCCAGAATATATAAGAATTTAGATATTTTCATTGTGCTACTTAAAAATTAGTGTACATAACTCTTTGTTAGGATAATGATAGAGAAATATTCCTTGAGCTTGGAATGCCATCTTAAAAAACTCAATCTGGAAATTTGGCAAATATCCATCCAAGTTTTATTTTACTTCAAAATCCAGCTTCTTTTAACTAGATTTGTAAAATTTTTTGTATTCCTTCAGTTACATCTTTTTCAAAAGTATAATCATTTCAGTTCTATGTATTTTAAGCCTTTGGTATGATTGAGTTGGCATATTTCAGTGATGGTTGTTGGTTGGTTTCATTGCAATTCTTTTATCTGTGACCAATTTGTATAATAATAGGACTTGAATAATACATAACTCCTATTATTTTTTATCAGCAAATGTGATCAGCTATCTGATAGTATGAATAAAGATGAGAAATAGATATTAATGTAATTTAGATCTTTTAAAAAGATTTTATAAAAGAATTAGTCAATAAAATTAATGTTCCTCAGGGATCCACAGTAATTATTCTACTTAGCAGACTGGAGAATGTGAAAGCCATTTTGTCCTTTTCTTTTGCTTTGGAAAGTAATTCTCAACTTTTTGGTCTCCATATTGTACTTTATCCTATGAAACACTTACTTACTACTTATGGAATGTTTCTTCTTTGTTTTCTGTTTTCGTTGTAGATTGTCTGTCAGAAAAAGAAATGGTAGGACCTTTGACAGGATGGTGTTCTTTTTCCAGGCCAATTAGTTAGAGACTGTTGCCAATACTTTCATGTCTCAGTTTTTTTGTGTACCCATTGCTGCTACATAGAGACCAGTATGCACCCTTAGCTTACCTGTTCATCTTGCAAAAGCGATTAAAAAGAAAGAGTTTATGGATGACTCATTCTAACCCAAGACCAGTATTTGGAGAAAAACGGAAATTTTCTTTTTTTTAACTGCGGAGTTAAAATAAAATGCATTGAGCTTTATTCTCTCCTGTACACATGTACACGTAACTACTAGAAGTTATTGCTGTAGTGCTTTAGTAATGTGATCCCAGAATAAGAGTTAATGTACTTGCCCCAGTGTTTAATAATAGACAACATAAAAATTTAAACATTCTTGTCCTACAGTAGATTATAAGCTCCCAAAGGACAAGATCATCTTTTTATATTCTGAGTCCTTAGTACAATGACTAGCACTTAGTACAATGACTAGCCCTTAGTAGGCTATTTGAATTGAATTGAATTGATTTTTTTTTTAAAGATTTTATTTTTTTATTTATTCATGAGAGATAGAGAGAGAGAGAGAGAGAGACAGAGACAGAGGGAGAAGCAGGCTCCCTGCGGAGCAGGGAGCCCGATGCGGGACTCGATCCCAGGACCCTGGGATCATGACCTGAGCTGAAGGCAGACGCTTAACCGACTGAGCCACCCAGGCGTCCCGAATTGATTTTTTTTAACACAGTATTAAGCACTACTAGAAAGGGACATTTGGAATTTAACTTTTTGTTAATAGTATTAGTGATACAGAAAATTAATTCATAGCACATTTTATTTCCCAAAAAGTCTTAAGCGCTGATGTATAAAACAAAATTCTAGAATATATGAATAATATAAAGTACAAAAGGATATATGCACCATTGTACAAAAATTAAGGGTAATGAAAGTAATGTCTATTAAAGCAATGATAAAAGCTAAAACCCTAATCAAGATAATTTAATTTTCAGGTTTATATTTTGAAAGGATTATTTCTTACGAAGTTTAAAGGTAAAAATGACAAAAATAGATTTGGAATTATATAAATTGATCATGAGATTCTAATTTCTCATCCTTAACTTCACAGATTTAAGGAACATTGCCTGGAAGAAGGCCGGAAAGAAAGAAATTATAGAGAGAAAGGAACAATTTTTTTTCAATCTTTGCTAGAGTTTCTAGATAATTAATTAAGATAATCTAGATAATTTAAGGTTTTTGTATGAAACTTGAGAACATTTTATATACATCCTTTTGTAAGTTTAAAGCCAGAAATCCTTAACATTGTTGATTTACAGGATAGCATTGTACATTTGATAACTATTGTACCACCCCAACCTCTTGTAGTGCTTTTAAAGACTTTATGTCAGTACTTGTACAGTAAGTAGGTGACATATATAATTATTCCAATGTTACAGATGAGGAAACTCAGGCACAGAGAGATGAAGGGATGGAGGGATCGGGTCATACAGCAAGGCAGAAGCAGAGCAGAGCATACAGTTCAGGACCACAGGCAACCGGGGCTGTTGCCATCTCTGACTGCATTTCACAGTGAGTCTGCTGACCTTGAGATTAGAGGGACCTTCCAGATACATGAGGGGGCTCTTTCAACCATATATAGAGATAGTCGTAAATGGTACAAGTATCCCATCTGGAAAACCCCTTCATAGTCCTCACAAAATCATCATAAACTTTGGGTAAAAATTTAAGACTGTTGGAGGAATAACTACATTTAAATTGTGACATAGTAACAAATTAAAGTGAAAAAACCTAGATTGTCAATGCAAGTTCACACAATATTGGTAAAAAATGTTTAAAGTTTATCTGAAAGTTACAGGCTTTTTAATATAATTTAAGTCACTCTTATTGGGTGAAATTGCTGAGAATTTTTAGGGAACTTCATATCTAAATAAGTTGGAAAAATATTAGCCCATTTACTCAAGTTGGAAAACAACTGATATAAAAGAAGATAACATTTTTTTTTTGAATATTTTATTTATTTGACAGAGAGAGA